GGGGCGGTGAGGCGCCTCGGCTCCTGGGCAGAGGGGCTGTCCCTGCCTGTCCGGTCCCGCCTGGCGGCGGGCAGGGCAGGTGTGCGGTGGCCAGCAAGTGGCAGGACAGGAGAGGACGGCCTCGGGGCGTGGACGTGACTCATCGGCTCAAGAAGGGATCCTGCCCGGCAGCCACGACCCCCACGGGTCTCGCAGCCTAAAGAGGAGCCCACACGCGCCCCGGGCACCGCTGCGTGCACCCTCAGCCAGGCCTGCGGACCTGCGTGGGCCCGAGCAGACGGCGCGGAGTCAGCCCTCGAGCCGCGGGGCCCTGGCCCGTCCCCCCCGCGACCTGCTCGCCCCCCGGAGAGGATGGTGACCGGCCAGCCGTTAGCAAACGTCCTGGCGTCAGGGCAGCGCGGCCCAGGAGCGCACCCAGCTCTCCCGTGGCATCCTTCCGCCCGGCCCGGGCTCCGGCACCAGCCGGCCGGGACACCCTGGTGTCCACTAGAGCTCCGGACGTGCGCGTCCGACAGGGCAGGGTCTGTGGGCGCCGGGCGCCGTGTGCCTGAGGGAGGCCGAGAGCCTGCTGGGGAGGGCTGCTGACCCTGGGCCTGGCCTTGGGGCCGCTGCAGGCGGGGCAGGACCCCGGCGGGCTCAGCCGCGGACCCTCCCCGGAAGCCTCCCAGCTGCTGACCCCCCGGCCGTGTGAGGCCAGCGGCAGGAGTCTGGGGAGGCCCTCGGGGCCCCGCGGTCAGCTCCCAGTGACGTGAGGACGCCGAGGCCTGCGGGCCCCATGTCCTGACGGGCCCAGGCTGGGAGCTGGGCACAGGCACCTCCCGGCACAAGCTGCCTCCGTCATCCCAGGGATGGGGATGCCCAGCTACAGGCGTCGGCAGATGGCCGTCCGGGCGTGGCCCCGGCCAGTCGGGCAGGGCTGATGCCCCTGCAAGCCCCCCGTGCCCGACAAGGCTCTCCGGCCCTGGCACTCCCGGCCCAGCCCTGCAGCCCAGGCCCCGCCTCTGAGGGCTGAGCCGGCCCTCGCACCTGCCTGCCTCTTCTGCTCCT